AGGCACTATACTACCTAAAAAAATAAAGTATGATCAATGGGTATCAACTCCAGCTTTCAATAGAGTGTCCTAGTTTTTAATTAAAATGACAAATATCCTTATATTGATTAATTATGTTATCCTCCCACACACAAGCCAGGCCCTAGAATTCCAAAAGAGGGACTTACCAAATACATATCAACAATGACACTTATTGTTACTAACAAGGCTAACTCTTGCCATCACCAATATGGATGTCGCTTACTATTGTTGATAAGACTAACTCTCACCATCGCCAATAAGGTTAATTTATGCCAGAGCTAATAAGGTTGACACCTACTGCTACTTTTATGATTGATGTTCACCATCACTAACAATGTCGACGTCTATTGTCACCATCAAGAACAACACTTGTCATTGCCAATAAGGCCAACATCCAATGTTACCAACAAGGCTGATAATCATTTTTGCCAAAAAGACTAATGACTGCCTTCACCATCAATGTTGGCACATCATCACTTGTCATTAACATTAATACTGACACCATCAATAACAATGTTGATGCCTATTGCTTCTACCAAAGCTAGCACCTACCAATGCCAATAAGGATGAATCCCACCGTCATCAATAAAGATGATGCTTTAGACAACTAATATTTATAGCATGGTAATAGTCGATGCCCATCATCTCCAATAAGATCAGCACCCCCAATGGCCATAAAGGATGCTATCACCACCAAGATCAACACATGCCTTTGCCACCAAAGCTAACTCTTACTATCACCACTAAGACGTCAACCAGCATTGCCACCAAGGCCCATGCCCATAATCACCACCAATATTGATGCCCACATTGTCAATGATGTTGATATTCATTGCTACCACCAATATTGACACCTATTATCACCACAATTGCTGACGCCCACCTTCACTATAGCCTTTATGCCATCATCAACAACAACACATAGCTCGATGTCATTAATAATATCAGCATTGTTAATAATGCTAATGCCCACCATCAAGAATAACACGGACACCCACTATCATCGCTAATAGCAATGTCCGATGTCATTACTAAGAATAATGTTCATCATTGCCAATAAGTCCAATGCCTCCAATTATCAACTCCACAAAAACCCATCTTCACCAAAAATATAGATTATGGTCGTTGCCACAAAACTTGACGCTTATCTACCAATCATTATACTAAATTGATACTTAATTTACCTTTTTTGAGCTAACCTTTTCTTAGTCCTAACCAGGAAGTCATTGATGCATGGCATTACTAGTTAGACTGCTGCGGAACTTGGGGATAATTGAAGTGGAATGGCATTACTGTATGCCATCACCGTTTATGCTAATATTATTTCCATAGTTATTCTTATGCTAATATTAATTAATAAAAACATATAGATGCAAGAAGAAACAACACTTGTTCAATGCATTGGGCTCAATGTATATTGCTATTTCATTCATAAGAATTTCACAATCTAATGGGAGTTAAACCAGTTGTTGCGAACGAATGTACAGCTCTTTTCATAGAGAGAACAACATGAATGTACTCCGTTTTACCATACGATTTTGAACAGGCAAGCAGAAGTAGATGATTAATAATATTTTTTTAGGGGCTATAATGTCTATTCTTATGCTCATAAGTTTTATTTTGTAATTTCTTCTTTAGTTGTTTACTATAATATGTATTCAAGTCATCCAAATCTTATATTCTAAAAATCAATGTGTTCCGCTCCAAAAAATTTTTTAAAAATTATGAATCTTGTTCTTTTTTCTTTTACATTATTTTTATTCATGAACATAAGTAACTTGTTTAGGCTATAGTTGAAATGCTTATTTTTATTGTTTGTTTAAAAGGTCATTCGATTAAAATCACATTTTTAATCTAAATATGCTATTCATTAATAGTTTCGATAAGGCTCATTTGATTAGAGAACAAGTTGCTCAATAATTTTATTCAATATTAGTCTCTTTAAGACTCATACATTTAGCTAAAACGTTGCTTGATAAGTTCAAGAAGGCTTATTTTTTCAATTAACAAGCATCTCAATAGTACGGCTTGTTAATTAACTTGATAAGGCTCATTCATTTTTCTAAACAAACTGCTTGATAATAGCTAAATAATTACAAATTAAATAGAACAAGAGATAAGCTCAAACCAAGGTCAAACAACCACGATTTTAAATGAATTGGGTTGAACACAATCACATATGCTTGAATTGAGCTCATGTTGAGGAATAGGATTTTAGCAGACAAACTTTAGCTTGGGAAGCTTATGCTCAAATTGATTCTGTTAATTTGCAACCTTTACATCAAAGCTAACAATCAACATTGCCTCTAAGGCTACTCCCAATATCGTGAAAAAAGACCTATGCACACTATCACTATAATGGCCAATGCCTGTTGTCACCATAAAAATGTTAAGCGTGGAATTTGATTGTGCTGATCAATTGGATTGTTCTGTTGCCTCGAATATCAAGTTTGTTGTGCTTGCTCGGGGGTGCGAGGGTTTACCCCCTGCCACCTTTTTTTTCCCCCGTACAACACCCCGATGCTGCGTACCTGAGCCTCCTGAGCTGCATACCTGAGCGCCCTGACACTGCTTACTCGAGCACCCTAGCTCTGTCTTGCCGAGCGCCCTAGGACTAAACGACAGAGAGCGGACCACCACAATGATCTAGATACGACACCGCAACTGATCAAGATAGCGCTGTGAGACGGACTAGACGATTTTCGTTCTCGTTTTTCTGGTGCGTCCCTCAGGGTTATTTAACTTGGATTTCTCTTGCATTTAGTGATGTAGACATTGAGAATGACGCATATGAGAAGAGAAGCAATGAAAGAGTGAGAGAGAAGAGAAGTCTGTACTTATTTCTCCCAAATTTCATAGTGAATTTTTTAGTGTGGTGCGTCTCAGTGGTTTTTTTCCCTATTTGGATTTTTCCACGTTAAATCCTAGTATCTTTTATTTTTTCACTGCTTTTACTTTCTTTCTTGTTTCGTCATTATGGTGTTTCCAAGTGACAGCTTCTCAAGCTTGAAAAAACAGGCGGGAAAAATGGCCACAGGCGGGATAAATAAATAAAAGGGGCACATGCGGGAAAATGCAAAATTGAATCGAGGGCTCGCGAGCCAGCTCGAACTCGATTTTAATGGGACGAGCTCGAGTTTGAGCTCACTTTTTGAGATCGACTCGAGCTCGAGCTTGAGCTGGAGCTCGCTTTCCGACTAACAAGCTGAGCTCGTTAGTGTTAAAACTCGACTCGTTTACACCCCTAGAGTAGAGCACTGCAATAGTCTAAATATAACGTTGCAATAGATCAAGATAGAGGTTCAAGCGCCGTAGTGCCCTTAACTGGTGCCTCAACACTGTGAGACAGACTTGAGATAGTTTTCATTCTCATTTTTTCTGAAGGGTTGCATCCCTTGGGGATATTTAACTGCATTTCCTCTTGTGTTTTGTGATGTAAACATTGAGAACGATGTATGTGAGAATAGAAGCAAGGAGAGAATGAGAGAGAAGAGAGATATGTATTTATTTCTCCCAATTTTCATAGTGGATTTCTCGGTGTGGTGTGGCTCCATGATTTTTTTCCCTATTTTAAGCTTTTTCATGTTAAATCCTGATGTCCTTTATTTTTTTGTTGTTTACTTTCTTCCTTGTTTCATCATTGTAATGTTTACTCCTCATCCCCAACAAAAAATTGATAACTCACTATCACCAACAACATCGATGCCCTTTGTCACTATTATCATTGCCATATCTCACTACTAATAATATTGGCACCCACTATCATCACTAACATTAATTTTCATCATTGCCAACAATCTAATGTTTATTGTCACCAATAATATTGATGTTCACTCTCTCCAAAAATAGTAACATCTACCTTCTATTTTTTTGCACTACCTAATCAGGTGTCACCGATAATTAAATTTGAATCCAACAAAAAAGATCACCTGAAAGATCACTAATTTTCGGAGATATGAATCACAACCTACTGTATTGTAACACCAGGGTGCTTTATAGAATTGACGAGAAAAGTCAGGTGACATCGAATGTTAAATGGTTCACTCTGGAAAGCGTAATGAATTGCCTCCTAAAAAGTGAGCCGAACGATTAAAAGATCAGATGATCTGCAAATAAGATGTAGAGAACACTCGTCGAGATGTGTGGGATGCCATCGGGAGATATCCATTAAAGATGATAAAAAAAGGAGTGACTAAATGGAGCTCAGAAAAGTTTTTGGGAAGACCTATGTAACGAGAGTTGCGTGACTGCTTCGCTGAGAGGATTATTACTGACCAGTTGTAATGTTAGTTTAACCCCAGCTATCGAAATCTATGTTATATTCCCGTCATCACTGTAAGTTGGAATATGATTTCCTATAATAATTTTTCTTGCTCTTTTATCTGTAACGGATGAACATCTTCTAGCTAAAATAGTAGTTGTATAGTTCAGAGAAAATATCCGGAGAAAAAACAAAAACAGGTTACTAGCAGAGAAATGGGCAGAAATGATGTTCAAAGAAGAGAAAGAGGGAGAGTGATGCTTCTTCCTCCCTTCTGTATGATTTGATTCACTGCTCATAGGAAGAATCCAAATTAGCACCATTCTATGTCCTCGAATCCCCTGGTTTACGTGTTGATCGATTCTCCTATATGTCTTGTAAGTGGTTAAAGATCAAAATCTTAAAATTATCATCATGAGTTTCTTTTACCATAAATATTAAAAAAAATTAAAATTGCAATCAATTTGACTTTTGAATAGGCCATCTTCATCTTCTCATGTTAATGCTAATAAAAGTAGCTTAACTTCAAGGATAATATCAAATTAAGTATTTAATTAGTGTTAGTTCAATAGAATCTACAATTATTTTTGAATAAGACACCGAATGCCATCATGTTCTATTTAAATAAAATCATAATTAGAACAGATGATATTACTTAATATAGATTAAAAAACCATTCATGATTTCTTAGATATTAAAAATTCTGGAATTCACCAACCTGTTCCTTCGCCCAAGACATCTGAAACATTCGGGTCTCTACCCTGCGGACTAAGGCTATCATCCGAACTATTATAACAACTGAGATTCGAAGTCGGCGTTCGATGATCGGAGGAGGAAGGAGAGGAGGAAGAAGATTGAGTCTCGCACAGAATATCAAGAAACCCCTTCTCGGCGGCAAGGAGTGCCGGGTGCTCCTGAAGCATATCGACCTTCTCATCGCCGTCCTCCTCCATCAGAATCTGGCTTATGTAGCTTAGAACTATGTCTGAAAAGATCTCGGAGTCCTCATGCGATTCGCCTCCAAGGCTCTTCCACAAAGGGAGGGAGAAGGGATTTTGCATGGAGGTTTCGTCGGAGGAGAAAGATTTGAGGTTTGAGGTGTCATTCGAATCGCGAAAATTTTTTTTCATCGTCGTTGAGGAAGAGAGGAAGAGGAATTGGTGGGGGTAGAGGACTTATTGTTGCTTTTATACGACTGAATGAGTGAGGGCGATTTGGAAATTTTGAAGCAGAATAGTAAAGTAAATCGGTGAAGAGCGGGATGGTTCGAGAATCTCGGGAGAGGAAGAAGCTTCTGCGAACCAGCACATTAATGGTAGAAACTAGAAAGGACAAATTTTTATAAGCAATATTATAATAAAGGGATTTTTACATACATAACACTTAAAACAACTCTATTTATCTATTAAACACCTAAACTTTTCTATTTACCTATATACCACCTGAAAACAGTTATCTCATCAAAAATAACACTCCGTCTCTTCGAATTCTACGAATATATATATATATATATATATGTGTTATCTACTTTGACTTAAAAATTTTCCTTTTTTAGTCTATGTTTTGGATAATATGCCATAAAAAATTAGCATGATTGAATATGGATCTTGATATATATTTCAATTAAAATTTTTTAAAATTAAATTTAAGAGCATATGAATTCTGATTTCAATAAATCTATAATTGAAGATGATTGACTGAGTTGCTAATGAACTTCTAATTAATAGAAAAAAAAAACTCATCTAAAAATTTCTTGTTTCCTTTCATTTATCTTCAAAATATATACAACAAAATCTCTACAATATAATGCATGGCTACAGATAAGAACAAAGCAAAGTAGAAATTAAAGATGATTGTACAAAATATATAAACCAGAAAATACCTAGACAACTTGGGGATCATAGCCTGCAGCTCTAGCTATTCAACGAGCTCCTTTTTTACTGACCTAAAACAAAATGCAGAACAGGTGTGAGACAATACAACTCAACATGCTACAACCACTTATCTAAGTTTTAATAGTTAATACAATGTACAATTATTTGAAGTAAAAGCAGTTATTAACAAGCTATTGTATTGAATATAGTAATGCTAGTAGATAACTGACATTAATAATATCAGATTGACAAAAAAAAAACACTTTTTATATTGAAATAGAAAATAATAGAATTCCCTAGGCCCTTATGCATTCTAATAGAAATAAATATTAGAATTCAGACCCTTATGACTTCATATACTAGCATATTAAAAAATAGGTCTTTATACTCTCAAATATTTAGCCCATCAAATATTGAGAAATTTAAGTCCTTATAGCTTCCAGTGCATTCAACATAACATAACTTTCTCCAACATCAAAACTCCTCATAATCACATTTTTTAAATAAATAAGCACATATATAATTTCATTTCAAAGAAAAAAATGAAAATAATCAAAATGCAAGTATTCACATAATGTTATACTAGTAGCAAACATATTCAATGACTAAGCAAGTTTCATATTTGCAAAATTTTATCAATTTATCTGGGATTGTTCAAAACATTGATTTCTAGCTTTAAATGTACTATAATATTATTTTCTGAGGTTAAAATTATTTTCTAAATGGTTAGAAATATCTAAATTTTTAATTTACTTGGCAAAAATTCTTTTAAAAATATCAAAATATCCAATATATATATATACAAAAAATTACATGATGAAAATTTAAAGAATGTAAAGTTATCCTCATTTTATTATACTTTCTTATAATTTTAATTAGAAAAATCCAAAATTTTCTACATTATTAATAATTGAGATATGTAGAATGTAACATATCTTAATCTATACAAACTTTTGAACTAGTATAACGGCAAAAAATGGACCGAAGTCGCCTAAAACTTGCTTTCTCTCTTTAAAAACTCTATATCTAAGCCAAACACACAAATGGTGGCGGGATTAAGTCAAATAAATATTTAAATGAAAACTAATATTTTTATAAAAATTTGGCCTTATACCACAATGCTCACAGGCACATCACCATAGCGCTCTCAACATTCTCTTAAAAAATAGAGAGCTTAATATCGAAATGCCACCAACCCCAATGTCGCGAGGCTTTGAAGGAAAAAATTCAGACTTCATATTTCATTCACATAGACCATCGGGTCATGCTTCACAACAACATTCACACATTTACAAATATGTGCATAATGTAAAAATGCATAAATTTTATTACACCCATCTTATTGGACTGGGTCAAAAATAGGTATAACACTATTTCAATAGTTATTATATATGATCTCCCAACCATCATCTCCCAACTAAGCTCCCCAACCAATAATACCGATTACGGTGCCACAACCACCATTGAGCAATTAGAATCTTCTCTTCATCTCACCCAACAATGATCATTCACCCACCATCACTTGACTAAGATTCATCAACCACCATAACCTTATTATGATCTTTCAACCAACATCATCTAAATATATCTACCTACCCTCATTGCCCGCCTATGATCCTTCAATCACTATAGCATAAGTATAGCCATCCAAGCCCTCCAACCACCATTGCTTGATGATAATCCTCACTCTAACATCATCTGACTATATATATCTAGCCAATGTTGCCCAAATATGATCATTTGTCTAGCTATCGTCACTTAACTATGATCCTCTAGCTGACCACCCTCACTCGATCAAAGTTCTCCAACCACCATGGCTCGACTATGGTCTTTTGACCACCATCGGCTAACTATGGATCTCCAGCCACCATTATTTAACTAGTATTGCTTGGCTAAAGTTCTCTAATAATCATTGCCTAATTATAGTCACATAACCATAAATCCTTATTAGACGACTATGATCTTCTAAACACCATTATTTGGTTATCTTTTTCGAACCATCATCTTCCAACTACGAAATCCCAACCATCGTCACCTGATTATATGTAATATTAGTCATAAAAAATATAGGTTTTTTTGTTAATGGCCATTAATTTTAATTTAATAAGTAATTAGGAGTGTTAATATGGTGAATGGGGTATAAAATAACTAAGGTTTGGGATCTAAGAAGTAAAAATCCAAAGTTAAGGATCTATTCAGTGGGCGTTGCAACGCCGGGGTAAATGGCAACCTGACATCAAGCTCTCGAGTTTTTTGGATAGAAAAATCAATTTGGGCATGCCTTGGTGCGTTGGGTCTTAGGTGAGGATATTCTGAGAGAATTTAGAAGATTCTCTAGGAACATAGCGGTGCTGGGAAGTTAGGCATCGTGGTGCTAGGTCAAGTTAGTTGTTTTTAAAATATTAAAATGTCTAAAACCATTTTGCTCAAAATAATTCCACCCAGTCATTTTCATTGAAGAAGAGAAAAGGAGAGAATATATAAGAGGAACGAGAAAGGAAAATAATGAGATTCGAAGGCCACATCTCGGGATTCATCCATTGGGCCAATTTGAGATATTGTAGAGCTCAAGTTAGACTTCTAAACCCCTATTTCTAATTTCAATTATAGTAAGTTTATAAAATTATATAAATAAAAATATATTTTTCTCGAGTTCTACAGAGTTTTTAGTGTGTGATTTTCAATATGGTATTACACTCTTTATTGTGAATATTTTAGCAATATGAAATTTAACATATTTAATTTTTCCTACATGATTTTTTTGAATATATTATTGAGTTGAGGATTTTCTTAAAAATGCAATAGTTATATAAATGTCTTGAAGTATTCACGAGATTTTTCTTTTAAAATTACAAATTGATAAGGAAAAGTTTGGTGAGTATTCTATTTTATAAGTAGTGTGGCTTCCACTGACAATTCATACACTGTATCTACATCCTGTATTTCATGGCATTGTAGATATTCTATTCTGAAGTGGGAAAAAATGTACTATATGTTATGTTATGCTAAATGTATTCTTTTAGCCCATATGCTAGGTGTAGATTTGGGAATGATTTTGGCACCATTTGTTAAAAGGAGGTGTGGGAGGTTGTTTAACACTGAAGTACTCTTCTGGCCCCAACTACCTGATGCAAATGTGGAAGATATTTTGGCCCCACTTATTATAAATAGGTGTGGGAGGTATAAGTGAAACTGAAGATATAAGCATGCATCTAGAAATACATATTATGTTCATTGCATTTCATTTATTAATATTTAAATGAATTAAATATAGGAAATGTTCTTAAATATGCATTAGTAAATTCTAAACCTCTGTATGAATTTTGTTGGGAAAGTGAAAGTGAAAGTGCAAGCGAACCTCCGAGATTATGTTTATTATATTGCATTTGGAGACTTCGGTGAACGTGATCATGTGGTTATAAAAGTATAAGTGCTAGCTTCGAGATCAGGTATATACTGGAATTATAGTAAATTCAAGTTTTTCTTATACTTCAAGTCTTTCACAAGTCTTTATGTTTTCCTTTAATTAATTATTTTAAATATATTTGCATTGGATATTAATTCGTATGAGGGGCAAGCTAGGGAGGGAGTCCATTGAGCTAGTTGAGTAACTTGGTTGCTTTTAAAATATTTCAGGCAATGAAAAAGGTATGGTGGAGCAGATTAGATACAGAGGAATAATCTATGAGCTTTAAATAATATGGCACTGATTTTGAAATCCATTTTAATGTTTTGATGTATAGACATTTTGAGTTGGATTATATATTTATGTTTTGATGAAATAAAAATGGATTATATTGCTTTTGTATTTTGAAAATTTTAGTTGCTCTGATTGTTGTTATCAGTAAATGAGTTAAATAATCACATGTTCAAGTAACTTCAATCCTTCCATTAGATCCTAAGATGTCTCACTAAGGTTCTTTGATTACCATCTCCTGACTATAATAGTTCGACCATCTTTGTCTGACTATGACCCTTCAACTATCATGCCCAACTATAATTTTCTAACTATATCAATATTTGTTGACTTTATTGCTTATCATTAACAACAGTGTCACAAACACCAATTCTGACTTTTGACGTCAATTAATAATGAGATTTTGCTGGACTTCATGAGCTTGAGTTCGTAGAATATATTAACTCGAGTATAGGTTCAGGCTCGAATTCATAGCTCAATAAACTCAACTCGTGAGTCATGAGCTAATTATTGAATCGAGTTAGAACTAGCTCATGAGCCAAGTTAGCTCAAAAATACATTAAATAATTTTGATATGCAAAAATAATATATATAGTATTTATTTCAAATTTTCTAAAAACGGTTGACTTACATTTAATTGCCTTCTCAATATTTCCAGCTAAAATCGCATTTTATATCTTATTATATGCCCATACCAAATAGCACCTCATGGAGAAACATTGTTGTGCTATTATAAGAGTAAAATGTTATTGCGAATCATTCATTCATCAGCTCATACCTCATTGCTTAGGTCATTCTAGTTGCAAAGTCAAAATTTTACTAAGGCTTACATAATCAAGAAAAAGACACGTGTCCCGAAGAGGTAGTGTTAATGAACAGCCATTAAAATAATTAGCAAAAATTAATATGTCGACATCTAAGTCTGATTGCTCCATCATGTTTAATTGTTTCTCCTCCAATGCAGTGACATTATTATTATTATTATTATTATTGTTGCGTCCTGGAATATTCGCGGCGGTAGAGAAATATATGGTTTAACGTCTTAGCGTTGTACGAAGATCCAGCACACAATCAGATAAGTGAGAGGGTGTAGCGTTCATAAGAGACACCAAAGTTTTTACGTGGAAAACCCCTGAAAAAGGGGGAAAAACCACAGGGCCTGGCCCAGTTTGAATGAATCCACTAGTATTTGTAGTCGATTACAAATGAGGCCCTTCCTTGGGAGAAGGCCTTGGATTGATGTAGAAAATGTACATCATATAGATTGCATTACATGGTAAGAGTTACATATACAGGTTTGTTTGGCCTGAAAGACCGTGGTCGGCAGGAGAAGAATAGAAAATAAAATGTAAAAATTCACTGACTTATATTGTTTTCTATCACTCACTCTTTCTCTCTGAAAACTTTTACTTTTCTTTTTATTCATATTAATTAACTATTTATCATTTTTAATTAAGTGTGTTGTTGAAGAAGTATCTAATATAATTTTTAAGAAAATAATTGAATTATTCTTAAATGAAGATAATATAATTTTTTTTATATATGATATTAATCTTAAAATCTATTCTGAATAAATTTATGTCATCATATTCGAATCTAATTTCTTTCTATTATTTTCAGTGTGCTGTTGAAGAAGTATTGCTCAAGTTAAAAATAGAAAATTGATTGCAACTTAGACCACCAATCTCAGTCAACTTAAGAAGGTCAATATCATAGATGCATTGAACCTAAAATCAGATTATTATCCCATTAAACGACAATTAAAGTGTAATTAGTCAAATTAAAAATAATTAGTCAAAAGCGTTTGTTTCCATCCCACCAAAAGCCATGTTTTGAAAAGAGAAATGGTCAGCAGGAATAAGAATCGTTGAGCATTGCAGTCTTGGAGAAGAAGCAAACTATCATTATAATGACGAGATCTTATTAAAGCAATAATTAGAAGAGTTTATGCACTAAGCAAGAAGAATATAAAATTTCACCACTTAATTAAGAATTGTTAACAGTTCAATTCAAAAGTAATTAAGAAAATGAAGGTTATATAAGACTTAAAATATTCGAATTTATATATTTAATTTTAACTTTCATTATCACATAGTATAGCAAAATAGCTATACTTGAGAGAAGGTATTGATGTACCCAATAAAGGAGAGATCTGATAGAGCTCATAAGTGAGAGCATTAACAGATCCATGTAGGGGTGTCAATGTTTGACGTGACTCGAAAATCATACTCGAACCCTACCCGAAAATTTCTGGTTAGGTTCAACCCATTTGTGAAACGAGTCAGGTTCGAGTTCAACACACCGTCGCGTCTACGTTGATTGAGTATGCCCACCGTCACGTCGAGTGCCCGTGCTGACCGTGTCTATCTGTGTCGCATCAAGTGCTCGCGTCACCGTTGCTTTGAGTGCCCGTTCTATCCCGAGTGCTCGCCGTCGTGTCAAGTCTTGCTATCGTTGTCAACTCGCCGAGTAGCTGACGCCTCATCCTACAACGGATCGGGTCGGATCAACCCGGCAACCCGTGCGGGTCGGCTCCAGGTTAAAAAGCTGACATGTATGCAAAAACGGGTCGGGTTTGGGCTGGGTCAACTAGTGTCGGGTCAATTCCGGGTTCGACTCTAACCCGACCCGTGACCCGATTTTGACAGCCCTGGATTCAAGCAGTATGTGGACGAAGCAAAAAAGTCAAGTGGGAACTCGAAGTCGCGCATAAGCTCGTTGGGAGAAAGCATGGATGGGCCCAACAATGGCATGATCCAGGCAGTACGTTTTTATTGTTTATATTTGGTGTATGTAAGAATATAAGAATGAATATTTTAAAATCTAGAACTTATTAAGAAGAAGAAGAAGAAGAAGAAGAAGAAGCATGCTTGAAGATGTTCTTGGAATAAATTTAAGCAAGTAATACAGGTTATATATTTTGATTATTTTCTTGTTAAAGAATATGATATTGTTAGTATAAATGGAGAATCACAGTAGCTGATATGAAACTTACATTAAATGCAGTAATTGGAACATTTTATTTATATTATTGAAGAGATCATGTAGACCGATGAACACCATCACGAACTAAGTAAGCAAGGAAGAAGATGAACAGTGAAATGGATGATTTCATTTCAATAACTAAACTGATTACATTGGTATAAATAAGTGAAAGAGTTGCTTGGTGCAATTACATCATTGCCCCTTGACAGTTATAAAGTAGTCGGATGGCAGGAGAAGATGGATAACGGGTCTGCTGTACGCCGACGGGCTCTGCTCCATCTTGTGTTAATAATTTGGGTTTAGTGCGGGATGCAGTAACCATGTCACCCTCCCGCAAGCTGATGGTCGGGAGAACAAGAAGCTTGGTGCGTAAGTTGAAAAGGCGAGCGGATGATAAAGACTTGGTGAAGATGTCCGCCGGCTGATCGGTGGTAGAGATGTGACGAACTGTTATCTGGTTTGATTGAATGCAGTCCCGTATAAAGTGATGATCCACCTCAATATGCTTGGTTCGAGCGTGAAAAATGGGATTGCAGGCTATTGACATTGCAGAGATGTTGTCACAAAAGAGCTCAGTTGAAGAGAGGTTAATCTGAAAGTCTTCACATAGCCGTCTGGTCCAGATGAGGTCGGCGGCGGCAGCCGCCATGGAACGGTATTCTGCTTCAGTTGATGAGCGGGCAACTGTCGTTTGCTTTTTAACGGACCAGGAAAGAAGAGTAGTTCCTAAGAATATGCAGTAGCCAGTAGTTGATTTGCGATCGAGTTGATCACCCGCCCAGTCAGAGTCGGAGTAGGCAAAGAGAAACAGGTCCGTTTTGGGAAGAAAGAGGCCATGGTGTAAGGTACCTTTTAAATAACGCAAGACGCGTTTAAGCAGTTGAAAATGAAGCAGAAGGGGATTGTGCATATGTTGGCACAACTTGTTGACAGCAAACGCTATATCCGGCCGTGTCGATGTGAGGTACTGCAGTGAACCAGCGAGTTTACGAAATAGATCCGGTTGTCCAAACGGTAGCTGAAGATTCAGATCAACAGGATACTTGGAGGGTAGAGGTGTAAGTAGAGGTTTGCAATTGGTCATCGAGGCCGTATGTAGAAGATCCTGAATGTATGAATGCTGATGAAGATGATAACCGGCCGCAGAACGATGGAAATCAATGCCAAGAAATTTGGAAATGACCAAGATTCCGGGTTTGAAATCTTTGTTGAAGATCTATAAGTAGTAATCGAAGAGGAATCACTGCCGGTGATGAGAATGCCATCAACATATACCAGAATATATATGTGAAGATGATCCTTGTGGTAATGGAAGAAGGAAGGATCGGCCGAACTAATGAGAAAATTCTGGTTTTTAAGATAAGTACTCAAGGTAGAAAACCAGAGCCGAGGGGCCTGTTTAAGGCCGTAGATGGCTTTATGTAGCAAGCAGACATGATCTGGGAAGGTTTTATCTTCGAAACCTTGTGGTTGAGACATGTAGACCGGTTGATCGAGCTTGCCATGGAGAAAGGCATTCATCACATCTAGCTGATGAATTGGCCAGTCGTGGTGAAGAGCGACTATAAGAAACATTCTGATGGTGGCAAACTTAACAACCGGACTGAAGGTCTCAAGGTAGTCGACACCATGCGGTTGTTTGAAGCCCTGCGCAACTAAGCGCGCTTTGTATCGAGCAACAGATCCATCTGCCCGAAATTTTAACTTGTAGATCCATTTACAGCCGATAACCTGATGATTCGGTGGAGGTGGCACAAGGGACCATGTGCCTTGTGTCTGAAGAGCATGAAATTCCGTAGACATGGCCTTGCACCAATTGGGGTCCTTGTTGGCAGTGGTAAAACAAGACGGAGAGGAATGTAAGGTGTGGGAGAGATCAAAAATGATACGAGGTTTAAGGTGGCCGGTTTGAGCTCGAGTGACCATATGATGGGGAGGTGGTTGAAGAATAGGTGTGGTAGTAGATGATGAGGAGGTGATAGGAGTGGTGGAGATATTGGTTGGAGATGGAGTGACGGAAGGAATAGGAAAGGGGGTGGAGGAAGTAGACGAGGGTAATGAAGAAAGATTTGAATTTTGAATTGGAGGGAAGAAGGGTAGAGCAGTGGAGGAAGGAGGTGGAGATGCGGGTAGTGAAGATATAGACGGAAAGAGGGAATCATCGAATTTGACATGGCGAGAGGAGATCGTTGTTTAAGTGATAGGATCAAAACATTTGAATCCTTTCTGATTGAGGGTGTAACAAAAAAAAATACAGGGTATAGATCTGGGAGCTAGTTTGTGAGTGGAGAGTGGTTTGGTCCAGGGAAAACACCGGCAGCCAAAGGGATGAAGAGATGAATAATCGGGTGGAGTTTGATATAGAAGGTGATATGGAGATTTGTAAAAGGTATTTGAGGATGGTAATCTGTTAATTAGAAAAGCGGCGGTGAGGACGGCATCCGACCAGAATGTGGAAGGTAAATTAGCATCAATTATAAGAGCTCTTGTGGTTTCTAGGATATGCCGATTATTTCTTTCTGAGACTCCGTTTTGCTGTGGAGTGTAAGGACAGGTTATTTGGTGTGTAATGCCACGATGTGTAGTGAAGTCCTGTATTGTTTTATTTTTAAATTCACCGCCGCCATCGCTACGCAATGTGCGAACGGTACGATTTAGTTGTTTTTCAATTGACGTTAGGAAGAGTATTAAACAGAGAGCAACGTTGGATTTTTGTTTAAGTAAGAATAGCCATGTGTATTTGGTATGATCATCAATGAAAATAAGAAAGTAGCGAAAGCCATCGTAAGAAAGAACAGGGGATGGACCCCAAACATCCATATGTATTAATTCTAAGGGAAATTTAGATACATGGTGAGAGGGAGAAAAGGGAAGCCTGTGACTCTTCGCAAGTTCACAGGAATTACATAAAGATAGTAAAGACGTAATGTGAAGTGCGGGAAAGGCTTTAGCTAATGCAGTCATTGTCTTGACATTGGGGTGTCCGAGTCGGCGATGCCAAGTGAGAGATGTAGAAGACGGAGCAACGGTAGTCGAAGCAGCGACGATTGATGGCTGGTAAGGAATGGGATATAAGCCATTAAGGCATCGTCCGCGGAGTAGAGACTGATTGGTCCTCGTATCCTTAACACGAAAACCAGATTTGTCAAAAGTGATAGAGCAATTGTTGTCATTTGTGAGTTTGGAAATGGAGATTAAACGATGTGATAAACGTGGTACATGAAAGAGAGGAGTAAGAGCAAGCTTACGGGTAGGTGTGGGAAGAAGACCATTACCAACATTCTGGATAGGAAGTGGATTACCATTGCCAACAAGGACTTGGTCTCGGCCGTTGTAGGGGGTGGATTGCTGAAGGGGGAGAGGATCCGGTGTCAAATGTGCTGATGCTCCGCTGTCTAGGTACCATGGAGAAGAATCAGATTCAGCAACCAAAGCAACGCTGGAGTTGGAAGACGGAGTGTAATTGAAGTTGCCGCGGTGCCAGCAGTTGGTGGCCGAGTGGCCACGTTTGCCACAGATTTGGCATTCACCATCAAAGCATGGAGTACGTGATGTAGTTCGAGGTACATTGGATGAGAAGAAGCGACCACGACCACGGTTGGAGGAGGAGCGTCCGCGGGATCTCCCTCAATTGGAAAACAGAGCAACTTGGCCGTCTGAAGGAGATGTATTAGAAAATGAAAGTTCACGGAGAGCATCCGTTGTTTGATGAACCTCTTCACTTCGAAGAAGAGAATATAACTCATCCAATGAAATGGGATGCAAAGAGCTGCGAATGGTTGTTTTAAAAGACTGATAAGAAGGCGGAAGGCCATTAAGGATGTGATGAAGAATGTCTTCATTGTCCACGGTTCCTCCAGCAGCTCGAATGTTATCTACCGTGGTTTTGACGGACGCCAGATAGTCTGTCATGGTTTTGTTTAACATGGAGAGGGATTGTAGCTCATTCTTGAGTTGTATAACTCTAAAGCTATTGGTAGAGAAAAAACGTTGCTCTAATGTCTTCCAAATTGAAACAGAGGTATCCAAGGTGAGAATGTAGGGAAGAATAGGTGGAGAGATCGTAGAGAAAAGAGCAACCGAGAGATTTTGATCTATTAAGGTCCAAGTGGAGTGTTGAGGGTTGAGAGAGAGCTAACCAGAGGCTGTAAGAAGGTGTTTGGGTGGAGGTAGAATGGTTCCGTCGAGGTAACCGGAAAAATGATTTGCAGCGAACAATTTGTAGATCGCTGATCTCCATGTAGGATAGTTTTCTGGTGAGAGCTGAACGTTTATTACGTTCTTAATATTTGCTAAGAGAAACTTGAGAGTTGCAGGGATCACAACGTCTGTGGAGGTTGCAGGAAGATCAGCTGTGACCGCTGCACCAGAAGGAGTGCTGGGAGCGGAGGCTGTTGAGTCAGCCATGGAGCGGAGGATCCGTTAGGCAATCGGCTCTAATACCATGAAGAGATCATGTAGACCGATGAACACCATCACGAACTAAGTAAACAAGGAAGAAGATGAACAGTGAAATTGATGATTTCATTTCAATAACTAAACTGATTACATTGGTATAAATAAGTGAAAGAGTAGCTTGGTGCAATTACATCATTGCCCCTTGACAGTTATAAAGTAGTCAGATGG